GGACAAACAGGATTAGGTCATACTCATGTATTTTATTTCCCCTTCCCATAAGGTATTGGGGCTATGCTTTTGTGTTTGACACAGTCTCATTAGGTAGTTCTGTCTAGCCTGGAACTCCATGTATAGACTGGGTTGGCCTTGAATTTGAGATGACAGTTGTGGCTCACCAGCTTGGCTTTAGGAAACCTTTCCATGCAAATGTCTATAGCCACTCAAATTTTCCAAAATGGCCTGTCCTAGTTAGGGTTTCTATTGCTGCAGTGAAACACTATGATTGAAAACCAAGTTCAGGGAGAAAGAGTTTGTCTTACACTTATGCAATGTAGTCCATCATTGAAGGAAGTCAGGACAGGAAGTCAAGCAAGGCAGGAACCTGGAGGCAGGAGCTGATGCAGAGGCCATGGAGGTGTGCTACTTGTTGGCCTCTTCAGTCTGTTTTCTTATACAGCCCAGGACTATCAATCATCCCAGGGATAGCACCACCCGCAATGGGCTGGGCCCTCCCACATCAGTTCCTAATTAAGAAAATGCCTTACAGTGCCCCTCCCCCCCCACCCCCCCCCCCCGTCTTGTTATTTTTTCCTTTGAGACAAGGTTTCTCTATATATCCCTGACTGTTCCAGAACTCTCTCTGTATACTAGACTAGCCTCAAACTCACAGAGATCCTCTTGCCTCTGCCTCCCTAGCACTGGGATTAAAGACATGCACTGCTACTGCCCAGCTACAGCCTTATCTCACGGAGGCATTTTCTCAGTTGATGGTCCTTGCACGTGAGTTTAGATTGTGGCAAGCTAACATAAAACTATCTGGCACGGCTGACCCCTTCGTAATTAGACACACAAAACACTACTAAGTCACAACCTTTCCTTCCTTATTCATCCCCAAGAACTCACATTAAAAATATTACTAACTTTAAAAGTTCCACAGTCTTTACAGATTCAAATATTAAAATTTCAGTCCCTTTAAAAATATCCAATCTAGCCGGGCGATGGTGGCACTCGCCTTTAATCCCAGCACGAGGGAGGCAGAGGCAGGCGGATCTCTGAGTTCGAGGCCAGCCTGGTCTACAGAGAGAGTTCCAGGACAGCCTCCAAAATCACAGAGAAACCCTGTCTCGAAAAACAAAAAACAAAACAAAACAAAGATCCAATCTCTTAAAATCCAAATTTTCTGTAAAACTCCAATATCTTTTTATTTTATTTAAGTTTAAAGTCCCAGCTGTGGGCTCTTGTAAAACAAAAAATCAATTAAGTACTCTATTGCTTCAAGAGGGAAGAACCAGGGCAGTCAGTCTGGACAAAGCAAAAGCAAACTCCCAACAACGTAAACACCACGATGTCCAATGTCTGGGACCCTCACGACATCTGGGCTCCTCTCAAGGGCTTGGATCGTTTTCCTCTGTCCTCTGCAGCACACAGCTAGTCTTCTAGATTCCAAATGACTACTGTCCACAGCGACTGCTGTTCTTGGCAGTCATCTTCAAAATGCTGGCGTCTTCTGCTGGGACCGGGCTGCATTTTCACCAATAGCCTCTCCTAGGCTCTCCTCACAGCGCCAAGCTGAAAATTCTCTACATGACCCTCAATCCGGGCTCTTCAACTGTTCACTGATGGCCTTTCCCAGGGGGCAAGCCTCTGCTTCTCTCCATGACCCCTTCATGCCTTCAAAACCTCAAAACTGGTTCAGCTGTCGCTACAGTCTTGGCCACATCTAGAACACAGCTTCTGTGTGCTCTCAGGAAACGCTACCCCAGAAGATTTTACCTCAACAATGATGGCCTCGATCACTGGTAATTTCTCACCTCCAGCTGACCAGAATAGAGTATTTCAGCAAAGCCAAGGTTTCACTTCAGTAGCTCTGGCATCTTGTTAAGCACAGCTGACTCTTCAACACCAGCTAACCAGAACACAAATTCTTAACTCAAATGGCCTGGTAGTCTTTGCTTCCCTCTGAAACCTCACAAGCCGGGCCTTCAACTGCACTGCTCTCAACGTCCTTATCTCCCAACCTCCTACAGAACACTTCACAGAGCTGCTCAGGGGCATTTCTAGCCTAAAGTTCCAAAGTCAGGTCTGTCACAGCAATACCCCCCTATCTTGGCACAAGCGTGTCTCAGTGTTTCCACTGCTCATGATCAAACACCACGGCCAAAAGCCATCTGGGGAGGAAAGGGTTTATTTGGTTAACACTTCCACAGTGTAGCCCACCACTGAAGGGCAGGAACTCTAAGGCAGGAACCTGGCAGCAGGAGCAGAAGCAGAGGCCATGGAGGGGCGTGCTTCTTACTGGCTTGTTCCTCCTGGCTTGCTTAGCCTGTTTCCTTACAGAACCCTGACCACATCCCAGGGATGGCACCGCTCACAGAGGGCTGCCCCCCCCCCCATCAATCCCTAATCAAGGAAACGCCCTTCTACAGGCAGCCACACAGCCTCATCTAATGGAAGCATTTTTCTCAATTGAAGTTTCTTCCTTTCAGATAACTCTAGCTCAGGCCAAGTCGACATAAGGCTAGCCAGCACACACAACAAATGATTATTTTATAGTGAATAATTGTGGGAGTAATTTGCAAAGCAGTCATAGGACCTAGGACTAATAGCAATACCTCTTCCAATCTTTAAAGACACCAGCATAGTTAAACACTAATAGTCGTTAATTTACAGTGGGGAGATGGTTAGTTAGACTGCTATGCCACCAGGAGGACTCTATTGAGTTCCGATCACCAGAACCTATGTAAATGCTGGGCAGGTATGGCGGCACTCCTGTAATTTCAGCCGGAGAAGGAAGAGAAGAGGGATCTCTGGAGTAAGCCGCGTAGCAAAACCAGCTCTATCGGTGAGCTTTGGGTTCAATCGAGAGATCCTAAACTGAAGAATGAAACAGGAGAGGAGGAAGATTTCTAATGTCAGTGTCGCGTCCACATGCTCGCAAACATCTGTGCCCACAAGAGTGGCCATGCGCGCTTGCATACGTGAGCATGCGCGCGCGCACCACACACACACACACACACACACACACACACACACACACACACACACACACACACACAAAGCTTATTCAGCCATTCTCAGATTTACAGCTACTTAGTTGGAGTTTCCCCCATATCACAGATAAGACTGAAATATACAAGTGTTTTCATGCCTGTTTATACAGGAATGTACTTACGCAGGACACAAATTCTTAATGTGGAGAGGACAATTTGCACAATACCTGGCAGATTACAAATTTTATTTTCTTTAGAGGCCGAATCTCTCCACGAGAAATGTCAGTGTCCTTTAATATCCTTAGTGAAAAGGATTACAACCCTTGTGTCTAAAACCACACCGCAGTGGGAGTCAATCTCACTTGAAAATTATTATTTTGGTTTTTCGAGACAGGGTTTCTCTGTAGCTTTGGATTCTGTCCTGTTACTCTCTCTGTAACCAGGCTGGTCTCAGACTCACAGGGATCCACCTGTCACTGCCTCCAGAGTGCTGGGATTAAAGGCGTGGGCCACTCCCACCCGACTGAAAATTATTTTTATGTACTATTTATTTTTAGATACAGCTTTGCTGTGCAGTCCAGGTTTACTTTGAATTCCTGAGCCTTTTGCTTTTGCCTCCTGAGATCTACGATTCTAGACATGTGCGGACTAGTGCAACTCCCTTTTTTTAGTTTAGACAAGGACACAAAATTGCAAACACCTTCTGTCCTAGAGGCCTATATCTCTGAAAACATTATTCGTGGGCACACCTGACTAACTCTATAAACCAGTTCAAATAAATAAATAAACTATTTTAATATATTTTGTTTTTTAAAACATGTATGGCTGTTTTGTCTGTATGTACGCATGTCTGTGCACCATGCACATTCCTTCTGTCCAGAAGAGGTAGCATCCCTTGGACCTGGAATTTCAGGCTGTTGTGACCTGCCATGTGAGTGCTGGGAATCTAAACCTAAGCAACAAGTGTTCCTAACCGCTAACTCATCCCTCCAGCCCCTACAAACAACTTAAAAACAAAACAAATAGCTTGACTAGTATTACACAAGTGAGTCGTTTACACGACCTTCGTGCCTCTCAGCTCAGATACGCAGCAAACCACCAGCGGTGGGTTGGAGCAGAGGTTTAAGCCACACACTCGAAAAACGCCGAGGCTCTGGTCTTCCACACCTTTCGCAGCACGCAAGTCACGTGGGAGGATCCCGAGACCTCTTTCCCGGCGCTTCCCAACCTAACGCAATTGCAATCACACACTAGTAATGTGCTTCTTAGCCGCCGCCACCTCTGCTCACTACAGGTGGGTGCCTGCAGCTGCCCAGCACCCGTGAGTCACATTTACGCCTCTAAGTTTCGGGACGGAGCAATAGGGCAAGAGGGACTCTGGAAGACGCCCGGCCGTTCTCTGGTCCCAACAGGATAACGAGGTTCTCTGCAACGGCAAAACGCTGTCCCTGCACAGCTCGATGCTTTTAAAGTCCCTCTTTCTTCTCTGTCCAGCCCGGGATCTGCTACCTCTGTAGCCGCTGCTCCCCGCCTGCCCCACGCGCCGGGCCAGAGCAAAAGTTGGTGACAGCGCGGCTGGGAAGAGGCCCCGGAGGAGGGCTGGCGACAGGCTGGTCCCCGAGCCGCCGCCGTCCCCCGGCACTCCCAGCGCCCGGCCCGGCCCGGCCCGGCCCCGCCCACCCTGGAGGCCGCCCGGCGACTTCCGGGGCCGGGAACCCCAGGCTGGAGCCACACCCCCCCTCCCCACGCCGGCGCGCTGCCTCCCGGAAGCCCCCCGGAGCCCCCTCGGGCCCCGCCCCTGCGCAGGTCACCTCCCTCCACGCCCCCTTTTCTGGCCCGGCAGCCGGCAGGCAGGGAAGTGTCGTAAAGCCTGGCCCAGGAAACTTTACCCGGGGTAACAGGCGAGGCGCTTTACGGCGGCGGCGGCGGCGGCGGCGGCGGCCGGGTGAGCGAGGCGCGGCGGCGGCGGCGGCGGCGGCGGAGCGGCCGCAGCGGCAGAGGCGGCGGCGGCGGCCGAGGGAGAGGAGCGGCGGCAACGGCGGCGGGGAGCGGCGCGGGGTGAGCCGCGAGGAGGGGCGGGCGGGCGGGCGGAGGGGCGGACGGCGGTGACACGGCCGGCGGCGGGGCTCGGGCGGCCCGGGGGACGGTGGCCGGCACGGCGGCGTGGGGGCGGCGCGGCGCGGCGGCGGCGGCGGGGACACCCGGCGAGGGACGGTTTCTGCCTTTGTTCCCCGCGCCCCCTCCCGCCCCCCCGCCTCGGCCCGCCCCCGGGCCCGCCGGCCGCCTCTCATGGCCTCCTCTCTCGGCTGTGTCGCCTTCTAGGATGGCGGAGCTACCGCCTGGGCCTAGCAGCCTCCTCCCACCGGCGGCGGCCGAGCCCCGCTGCCCGTTCCCGGCGGGGGCCGCGCTCGCCGGCTGCAGCGAGGACGAGGAGGACGACGAGGAGCACCACGAAGGCGGCGGCGGCGGCGGCGGGAGCCCGGCGGCGGGCGGCGGGGCGGCCGGGGCGGCGGCCAAGGCGCGTTCTTCCCTTCGCTGCCCGCAGCTGCCCCCGGAGCAGCCGCAGCAGCTCAACGGATTGATCGGCCCCGAACTGCGACACCTCCGCGCCGCGGCCACCCTCAAGAGTAAGGCTCTGAGCGCGGCGGAGGAGGCGGCGGCCGCCACCGTCGCCGCCGCCGGGGCCCCCCGAGTGACTGCCACAAAGGGAGCCGGGGGACACCCGGGGGAGAGGCCGCCCCTGCCGCTCCCCAACAATGCAAGAACTGCGCCCCCCGACCGGCCAGAGGCGGCGGCGGCGGCGGCGGCGGCGGCCAGCGACCCCGCGGCGGCTCGCAACGGACTGGTGGAGGGCAACGAGCCGGAGGAGGAGCAGGAGGAGCAGGAGGAGGAGGACGAGCAGGTGCGGCTGCTGTCTTCGTCTCTGACCGCCGGCTGCAGTCTACGGAGCTCCCCGGGCCGGGAGGCCGAGCCCGGGGAGGATCGGACGATACGCTACGTCCGCTATGAATCCGAGCTCCAAATGCCTGATATCATGAGACTGATCACCAAAGATCTGTCTGAACCCTACTCCATTTACACGTATAGGTATTTTATCCACAACTGGCCACAGCTGTGTTTCTTGGTAAGTGGATGGCATGAGACCAGGGTGAGTGAACCCCAGCAGAGACAGGGAGAGAGGGAGAGAGAGAGAGAGAGAGCCGGGCCACGCAGGGCGAGGGCGTGCGAGGGCCCCCGTGTGTGGCCGTGGGTTGTAGCCTTCGTTTTCACGGTGCCTTCCAGACGTGACGTGTGCGCGCGCGCGCATGCACACACGCTCCTGGTTAGTAAATGGAACTGTCGTGGAAGGTAAGGACTCGTGCTCCGGGGTAGCCCGCTGCGGTTGTAACAGCAGCCAGCCGGCGCAGAGCGTGTGTCACCTGCGGTGGGGCGGGGTGGGGTCTTACACCGTGCTTACTCTAACTTCTGATCATGGTTAACCTCCGTTAGTTACCCTCCGCCATGCAGCGATGGTTCTGTTCGCACGCAGGCCTTGGTAATAACCCTGTTGCAGCCTTAGGATAACTCCGTTGCAGGCTTGGTCAGGGAAGGACGTATGCGCCGAACGTCTTTCGGTGAACACGGTTGTCGGGAACCTTGCTGTGGCCGCGTTCATTGATGATGGACATTGTTCCCCTCAGTAGGACAATGCTTGGAGTCAGCTTGCTTTCCCGTGGGCCATTGCAGAAGGTGTCCCTAACACTTCCGGCGGCTGAAAGGTCCCCGGAAACTTGAACAGAAAGCCCTTTTGTGGGATGCAGGAAACTTAAGTGTGAAACTACTCAGAAACAGTCTAAAAACTGGTACCATTGGTTTGCAGGAGGTGTAGCTGACAGACCTATGTGTAAGACCAACAGAGTTTTCTATTGGATAAGATGAATAACTATTTTAAGTTTACATTCTCAACACTAGTAATCTCTCCGCAGTAACACTGACTCGCTTTCTGCGTCTGTGATGCCTTTAACTGAGATGATGTTAGACTTGAGGTGTAAGCTGTGGACTCTGAGTGCAGCACATTGTTTTCACTGAAGTTTACTAACGGCAGCACCCTTTTAAGAGAGTAAAACTCCTCCTGTTATTATTGTTTTAACCCTGACTTAGCCTCACTCAGATTCAAAAGTCTCGTGGTTGTTTCCACAGCATGGCGGTAATCTAGAAATACTACTGGATATTGTACATATTGGTAGTTTTGCTACCTTTTGTGCCAATTATGCTTAAAATTTATTTTAGAACATTTGTTTAAACTTTAGATACTGTTTTGTATTTTATATTTCATAAAACGAGTGTATTTTTTTGTCTGGTTTTTCTTCAGAATTCTTAGCATTGTATTAGAATAGTTCTGCTGGATATGGTGGCACATATCTTAAATCCCAGAACTTTGGGGTGGCAGAGGCAGGAGGATCTCTTGAGTTCAAGGCCAGCCTGATCTACATAGCAAGTTCCAGGACAGCCCAGGCCGTGCAGAGAGACCCCCATCTCATAAAACAGAGCCAAGAGTTCTAAGACATGTTAGTGTCAGTGAATATGGGACAGTATTTACTATTATAAAGGTCATCAGATACAGCTCAAAATTGTGTGTTGACTTAATTGTAAATTAATCCACAAAGGTGTATAATGGAGTCACATTTTAAACTGATTGGAGCTGGGGATGTGGTTCAGTGGTAGTGGATTGGGTCATGTTTTCTCTAGAGCTCAGTTTTTTTTGGCATTTTACACTATGTAAACTTTAGTCTTTTATGTACACCCCTCTTACTTGATCAGTTAATTGGTACTTCAGCCTTTACTAGCTGAAGTTTAACATTGCGTTATGAATATCTAGAAGTTGTACAAGTAGCTGGCCTCTAAGGGTTCTCATGTGGAAGTATGGAATATGAGTCTGAAGATGGGAACAGTAAAGCTAGTTACACAACAGAGGCAGTTTACAACTAGGTCTTCTATATGCTTTTCAGGTTGAATTTCCCATAAGAACTAATTTTTATTAATGTCTGAATTGTGTCTTCTAATTGTGTCTGAAAGGACAGACAGCCCTAGAGATTATCTAGAACTACTACTTTTTTTTTTTTTAACGGGAATGAAACCTGTGGTGCTGTGTGTTTAAATCTCTAGCTGTTTTACATCTCATGATGGCAAATAAGATGAGGAACTGTGACATACCCTTGACCTATTTTATCATCGGAGCACATAGTTGTCTTCGCCAAGGGGCGGTTGTCCTTAAAAGCATCAGTCTCAGGGAATTAGAACCTCCAAAGTACCCCCAGGCTCCAGGGATGACATGAGGTTGAAAAATTGCCTATACTTGGTTGACTCATAAAAACAAGTTTTCTTAAAATTCATCCTAATATTTGTAGCACTCTGGAAAACAGAAGCTAGTACAAATGAGTCACTGCCAATCACTGTAAACTTTACCCCTTTACAGTTCGTAGTGTTTTCAGTTTCAGTGTTCTTAGAAGTTCTTAAATTTACGACTAGCAATGTAATAGAGTATTTCCATTTATTCTAAAGTTAACTTTCTGGTGTCCTCCAGTGTTCTCTTTGTAATGTTCTGGAATTTGGGAATCTGTATTTTGCACATACACATTTTTCATAGTTCTGTAGACTTCACGGGCTTTTAAAAAGCCTTGTGCAATTAAAAACCAGATTTATCACTTTCTGTACTTCAGAAAACACATTTAATAATATGCTTGAAAAATGTGTGCAACAGCTTTTATTTGAAAAAAAAATCAACAAGTAATTTAGTGATTGTTATAAATGATGATAAGTAATTGCAGTATTGATTTTTATAATGAGCAAGTTATCTATATATCAGGTTTTTATTTTTAGATGATATATACAACTTGATTTATGCTTCTAAATTTTTTAATTAGGGAAGTAGTCTTTTAGTCTCAAGAATAAACTAACAGATTTTGTTTGCTTTTTACTTATATGGTCAGGACAAATATTTGTTTAAAATTCTGGTGCAGTTTGAAAATATTGTCTACCTGTATTTAGTGGCTTTAGTTTTTCTTTTTGAATGGCTTTATTAACTGTAGGATATAGCTGCCCTATGGTCTTATATAAGATTTACATGTATTTCGATTTTGCATGAGCCTAGCTTACTAGGTCAGGGCAAATTTTTTCCCTGGCTGTTACAAGTATTTGATTTGGTTTGTGATATCATTATGTATACGTATACAGGTGTGCATATATATAAATATATATGAAACACAGACATACACCCACACACATTACTATATATATATGCGTATATGTATACATACATACTGATAATCCAAATCAGAAAATGCTGTTACCGGGGCTGGGCATGTGTCTCACTGATAGAATGCATGCATAATATTGGGTTCAGTCCTCAGCACTGAGAAGGCTATCAAAGATGTTCATTTAGATAATTTTTTTGTTTCAGATCTTAATACAAAAAATTAAATTGATATGAATGAGAAAACAAAATGGAAATAATAATTGTAAAATGTTTTGAACCAGAAGAATTACAGAATATGTGATACAATGGGAATGAACTATTATCAGTTACTAACTTTAATATCCCTTCAAAAGGATCTTCTAAGTGGATTAAAATTATCTTGCTTAAGGAAATTTTTCTACAGTGTATTTAAAAGAATTTCAGGAAATGTTTTAAGTAGGAGACCACAAAATGTTACAATAAATTCAAGTTAAAATATATGTTAAGTGTATGTTAGATTTTTGCTTACTAGTTTTTTGACCAATTCCTGGTGTTGAAATAGTTGTTTCTGGGAAGTTAGTTTACAAAACAGAGATATTGTTTGCTGAGATATTGTCCTATTTATAGTTCTCAGTATACACTACTAGAACTTCTTAGCAGTTTTGAGATACTTGATAAACATTTGCATTGATAACATGGATATCAAAATGAGCCTTTAACACTCTGATAACCTGATAGTCTTATAAAAATATAAATAAGTCATAGTATTCTAATTATACTAATGGAATTTAAGATATTTATATGTATATATCTTAAAATACCACATATATATGATATATATATTTGGAGACAGGATTTTGCTGTGTAGAGCAAGCTGGCCTTGAACTTCAGATCCTTCTGACTCAGATCCTTCTTCCTTAGCCTACTGAGTGCAGGCTATTTAATTTCTGGGAGCTTTATGATAATGACTCATACTTTCCAGAATATCCTGGAAATGGGGCCATTATGTATTTAGTCTTTGTAGTGCTACAGTGCCTTTTGAATGTGGTCTAAGTTATACCTTCTAAACAGTGCTTTTTCTGAAAAAAAAATCATAGGCACTTTTTTCTTGGTCAAAGTTAATTTCCAGGCGTAATTTTCAGTTCTTTTGTTTATACTTATCTGTCATTAAATCTTTATTGTAAAATTTTTAGTACTCTGCTGATGGGTAGATTGTACAGTATCTTACTGTATTCTAATAAGTAGACTTTTCTTTAAAATAGTTTTGTTTACTTTTCCCAATGTAAATAGGCTTTTATTGCAAACTATTTTAATTATGAGCACTTGATATTTAGTCTGTAAAAGTCCTTGAGTGTTTACCTTGTAGAAATCATGGTCTGAAGAAAGTTTGAGTTTTAGAAAGAAGAATATTTGAAGTTTTGAGATTCATATTTCTGAAGCTTTGTGATTGCTGGTTTGGTCTGGGTTTCTTCTGATTTCTTCTCTTAAAAATGCTGGCCAAGGGTCGGGTGCTGTTTTCCCTTGGTAATTTTGCAGTACCTGATGGCATTGTGTTCTTCATTAACTGTTTGTTTATTTTCAAGGCCATGGTAGGGGAGGAATGTGTAGGTGCCATCGTTTGCAAGTTGGATATGCACAAAAAGATGTTCCGCAGAGGTTATATAGCCATGTTAGCCGTGGATTCCAAATACAGGAGAAATGGCATTGGTAAGGAAAACATTATTTCACAAAGGATGAATAAATTATTTTCATTTTTGTGTTTTGAAACAAAAGATTTAAATGTCCATGTGTATAGGAATAAATTTCAAGGTAAGGAAAGAAAGTTTTGTTTTTTTATAAGTTTATTATTGTGTGTACACACAGGTGTCTGAGGACAATTTTGGGGATTGAACTCAGATTATCAGACTTCATGTGCTTTTACCTACTTGGCCATCTATGATCTTACTGTCCTTAAGATTGTTTTTCTTTCAACATATTTTCAAAGCATTCTTAAAAATAGATTTTACAATTAATGGTTTTGAGAGATTATCTTTTTAACAAGTAGCAAATGATCTTTTTTTTTTTTTGTCTTCAGGATTTTTTAAAAATTGATCCAGAATGCTTTGTATTATACTAAGTTCTGGAGAAAGTATTCCTGTTTTTTTATAGCATTATGAGAGCACTTTATACCAGATACTATTCTCAAGTTCAGTAGATGTTAACCAAGCTAAAATTATGGAGTAATTGTTATCATTACCTAATGTTAATCATTAAACCTGTTGTAATTTTAGAGTCCAAAAGAAGATAATTTATTATTTTGAGATTTCCTGTTCCTAGTCTTTTTTAAAAATTGAATTCCTGCCGGCCATTGGTGGCGCACGCCTTTAATCCCAGCACTTGTGAGGCAGAGGGATCTCTGTGAGTTCAAGGCCAGCCTGGTCTACAGAGCGAGTGCCAGGAGAGCCTCCAAAACGATACAGAGAAACCCTGTCTCGAAACAAGAACAAAAAAAAATTGAACTCCTTAGTATTTTTTTAAGTGTGTGTGGAGACAGACGGACACAGTGTATGTGTAGAGGTTAGAGAACAATTTTTGAGAGTCTTTTTTTCTCCTATCATGTGGGTCCCAGGGACCTGTGTTTGATCCCCTGCTGAGCCATCTCTAGGCCAACACATGTGTTTTTTAACTGTCACTAGAATCATCTGGATGGTTTAAAAGCAGATTGTTAGACCCCCCTCCTTGAGAATCTCTTTTCAGCTGTTCGGGCTCAAGCTTTCCCTGTTTTCTGCTTTGTAAGCCTTGTTAGAACTGCTGTCCTAGTAGTGTCCAGTACCTGCTGGCTCTTTTTTCACAATGGAGGAGCAGATGGAGAAGTACATGTTGGGATGTGAAATCCTGGGGTGTGTTTTAAGCTACGTCAGTGTTCATGAAACATTTGAAGTGCTATTAGTACTATTAGCAGTTTTGTTACTTGTGGCTTTAAAAGAATATGGGTGCTGTCTAATATTCATATTTAAGACTTTCAGGATCATGTCATGAGAGATCCCTATAAATATGTTAGGAGTTTATTTGACACTGGGTTTAAACTGCTGGCTCAAACATATTTTTGCCTCAGTTTTCTAAGTAGCTGAGATTTCAGTCAGGTGTCACTGGGCTGAGTCAATCTAAAAGGTAAAGGATTTTTTTTTTGGATAGTGTTAACAGTAAAGAACAGTAAATTCTACTAAAATTTGTAATGAATGAGTGTTTGAAACTTTTGATGCCTTTGAAAAGAACTAAGGACTCACTAAGTCTTGATTGACAAGTTCCAGTAGTAGCCATTGTTTAAGGTCCCATCCAGACCCAGCCTTGTTATGAGATGCACTTACTTGCCTGGTTTGAAAACGAAGTGATTTTAATGCAAAATTTGTCTTTTTTGAGACAGGGGTCTCACTATGTAACCTTGGCTGGCTTAGAATTCCATGTAGACGAAGTTGGCTTGAACTCACAGAGGTCCATCTACTTTGCCTCCCAAGTGCTGGCATTAAAGGTGTGTGCCACCACACCTGGCAAAATTTGTCTTTCTTAAAATCAGATTTGGCAGTTACTGTTTCTTTTAAAGTAACAGATAGATGTGGTACTGAATTATGACAAACTTTATAGGCATTAACAGACATACCACTGGCATCAGTCAGAGTGCTTGGCTTCGTTGTGTCAGAATATGCAGCAGCTGGTTTGGTCTTGGCCCTTTGAGGACTAAGCAGTTCTTGTGCCATGTGTCCAGAGATTTGGAGGACATTTGGCAAAATCAGCTCAGATCATTTAGTAACTTCTGCTAGCCCACAGAATTCTACTCTATGCTATATTTTCCCTTTTCATTTTTACCTTTCTTAATATCTTGTAACAATAAAACAAACTCCAGTTTGAGTCTAATAAGATCAGAGAAAAAGGAATCTATCAGGAGATAGGTCTTTCCAAGGAGCCTTATTTATATATGGAGGTTCCCTGGGCTTCTCCCAGCTGATTTCTGGTTTGTTTTTTTTCTTAGAGATGATGAGTGTGTTTACGTTGAAGATAAAACCTAATATTTTACATTTCTGTGCATTTCTGATTATCATAATTTAGATTCTTTAAGAAACTATGCTTTTCCTTCATTAATACTCAGATCTATATTCTAGGTACTAACTTGGTAAAGAAAGCTATATATGCCATGGTTGAAGGAGACTGTGATGAGGTGAGTCTTTCCGGTGTTTAATCTGTTGTCCTGGGCAGGGCTCTACTGGGTAGATTTCACAGTCTTCTGTAGTAAGAGTACAGCAAGTTTCATTGCAGATCTTCTATACAAATGCAGATTGTGGAGAAAAAAATAGAAACAATTGTGATGTAAATTTTAAGATAATTTAAGAATTGAATTTCTTCAGAACACAGGTGAAATCTAAACATAGTTAATATTTAACATTCAAAAGCAAATCAACTGAGTCATTTAAGTAAGTTGTTGTTTGTTTTTGCTTACCTTTTGACCCGTTGTTTAACTTTTTTAAAAAAAAAAACATGGACCTCCTGTATGGAGGATATTTCACTCTAGGAAAGTGTCTTCAAGTATTAAGTAATGAACGACTGATTTGTATATTAACATAGAGCACATCCTCTGTCTTCAGCTTGTCTGTAAGACCCTTTTGCCTTCTGTACTTTGTTTATTTCTGTAGCACTATGCTTCATATATGCTTAGTAAATGTTGATGATAACTGGGCATGATGCAGGTGGGAACAGTTTTAAACTAGAGAATGAATGCCTTTTATAGCAGTAACGACTAAGAATGTTATTGTGTTAATTTATGAGCAACACAAATGACAGTTACCTTTGGAAAAAAGTGACTTCTTTGGCCTTTTGAGAGAGCCCCTCACTCTGTAGCTCTGGCTGTGTCGACCAAGTTGGTGGTTGCCTTAACTTGTCACATGCTGGGATAAGGGTGTGCACCACTATGCTCAACACTTGCCTTTGCTGTGAGAGGACAGATGTGTCCTAACCAAGTTGTCAGATACATGAGATACTGTCAGTCCTTTGCCTTGACCTTAATAAGTGCTTTGATAACTTTTTAAAGCAGAGGGGTTTTGTTTTGTTTTGTTGTGTAGGACAGGGTCTGTATCTCAGGTTGTCATAGAGTCTAGTAGGTGGTTTAGGCTACCCTTAAACTTACCATTCTCCTGCCTTAGACTCCAGAGTACCAGGGTTAATAGAAATGTGCCCTGCTAAAGTTAATTTTTTTGTATAAAATTTATAGTAATCTAAAATAAAAGTCTCAGCCGGGTGGTAGTGCTCATGCCTTTAATCCCAGCACTCAGGAGGCAGAGGCAGGTGGATCTCTGAGTTCAAGGCCAGCCTGGTCTATAGAATGAGTTCCAGGACAGGCTCCAAAGCTACACAGAGAAACGCTGTCTTAAAAAACCAAAACCAATCAGTCATATATATAAGTAAAATAAGGCTCTCTATGTGTGTGTGTGTGTGTTTACAAAACTCCCCTATTATCTTGTTCCTCAGCTGTGTCCTTTCTACTGAAAGCTGATTATCCACCTTCACATTTTCTAAGCATTTTTTCATGCAGATGTAGTAACTTTTTAGGCTTCACAAAAAGTTGCTTAGCAGTTTAGAGAATCTTTGAGTTGATAGACAGTTCTTTGATTTTTCTGCTACTGAGAATTATTTCTTGTGAACAGGGATGCTTAGGTCAGGAACTACTTTGTTCCTGGATTAAGTCTCTTTATGAGTTATATTAGTCATTGCCTATGAAGCAAGATGTGAACTTACTGATTGTTGAAATAATATTAGCTTTTCATCAAAGCTTCTAATATAGGATATAGAGTTAGAAAATACTGTTAGTATATGGTTAAATCTTAATTTTATTATGTATTTTAGAATTGAATGCTGTTTATGTATTGTGTGTGTGTCATTGTGTGCATGTACACCTATAGAGGCCAGAGGTTAGCATTAATTGTCAGCCGGGCTTGTATTCTCACTAAGGTGTCTCACTGGCCTCATACCCTAAGTATCCTGACTGAACAGTTTGACTTATTAAAAGAACTCACTATGAGACACCTTGATTTCTTATCCATCTTCTGTAACTAACCAGTTGTATAATTGAGGGAAAATCATTTCACTTTGACTACTCTGTCACTTTGTGTGAAGTTAGGTTAATTATGCTTTTAATTTTCATTGTGAAGAGCAATAGTTACTTGTTCAGTCATCAAGTATCTGGTCAAGGTCTGTAGAGAGCCAGATAACAGTGGGCACAGCATTTCTCTGTTAAAGAGAATCAGACACATCAAACTTCTTAAAAAAAAGGGTGTGTGTGTGTGTGTGTGTATGTGTGTGTGTGTGTGTGTGTGTGTGTGTAGACAGATAGATACATATAGCTATAGGTGCTTTGTTTTCATGTACATCTGCAAACCAGAAGAGGGCATTGGATCCCATGGGACTTTGTTAAAGATGGTTGTGAGCCTCCATGTGCGTGTTGGGAATTGAACTCAGGACCTTTGGAAGAGCAACCAGTGCTCTTAGCCATTGAGCTATCTCTCCAGCCGGTTTATTGGTGTCCTTGAGTTTCATTCATCTGTAAAGTATAAACCAGTGGTTTTCAACCTTCCTGATGCTGCAACCCTTTAATACAGTTCTTTATGTGGCGACCCCCAACCACAAAATTATCTTCATTACTACTTCATAGCTATAATTTTGCTACTGTTATGAATCATCATGTAAATATTTTTGGAGGTAGAGGTTTGTCAAAGGGTTAAGACCTACAGGGAGCCGGGCGTTGGTGGCGCACACCTTTAATCCCAGCACTCGGGAGGCAGAGGCAGGTGGATCTCTGTGAATTCGAGGCCAGCCTGGTCTACAGAGCGAGTTCCAGGACAGCCTCCAAAACAATACAGAGAAACACTGTCTCAAAAAACCAAAAAAAAAAAAAAAAAAAAAAAAAGACCTACAGGGAACCCCTGATAGCCATGTCTGTTTCTTGAGCTTCCTGTGTAAATATAGCTATCCTTTAAATTGTTTTCACTGTGTTTTATTGTGAAATAAGACAGCAATTTTGCATTGTGGCAATACCAGTTTTTCTCAAATTAAGTTGCCTTTATTTCACAGTTTAATTGTATTACATGTTGACCTAATAACAGAATTGCAGCAGTTTCCCAAGAGAATTGTCAGATCTGAAACCTTGTACTCAGGTATTCTAGTATAGCATTCAATATTAAAACTTCAGTTTTTCTTTGTTCGTGGCAGTCTTTCACTATGTAGCTTGGACTAGCTCAATGGTCATAGACATCTCTTGCCTCTGCTAGGATTGAAGGTGTGTCCAACTTGTGCGTGGACCACATGTTTCAGAATACCTATGAATTTGGTCCAACATGTTGACCTATAGATGATGAAGTAGATCATAGTTGGTTCTAGAGACTGACAGTTTGATGTTGAACATGAAGAGGAAGGAGAGAGAGAGAGAGAGAAACTGGGCATGCACATGGAAATCATATATTGATGGGCCTTTTTAATCTCTTCAGATAATTTTAGATCATTAAGTTATTTTAAGGACAAAAGAGTAAATAAGTTATTTTAGTTAGGAAAATAATGAGAGGATCACAGGTAGAAAATGGGAGACTTCTTAGGCTGGTGGCAGTTTATGGTGCTGTCAGTGGGGTAAAAATAAGAGGCCACTTTGAGAGAAAAATTTGGCAGGAGAATTGATAATACTTAGTGCTTAGATGGGTATAGGAGAGTGGTAAGAAGAGGTAAGACTCCTGGGTTTCAGGCTGAGGACCTGGGTGGTGGAATGGAGAGCCTCTTCACTGCGATGCAGAATTGTACAAATCGAGGTGCTCCTCTTTCTCTGTCTCCTGAATTCTTCAAAGATAGAATAGGAAGAGCCTCATGTGCTGTAAAGATAACTTTGCCGTGTCTTTGTCATTTTCCCCTCACTCTAAATGCCTTTGAACTGTGGCTCGCTGTGTTGCTAATTCTCAGTGACAGAGCAGAATAGAAAAGGTAAATAGAGCAACATATATAAAAGTTGGGAAGGAAGAAAGTGTTTAGGTAGAGGGAAGTAGACAATAGAAGAACTCAAAGTTTTCAAAAGTATCAGCTACTCTAAAAGACTCAAATGGAACCTAGTACTCTGTGACCCTCTGTAAGTTTTAATCTGAATAATATTTAGACCACTGATTGTCAGTGATATCAATCTCACCTTGTAATTTGTTTAAAATGCATATTCTTGGACCCTGTCCTAATGTGTGTGTGTGTGTGTGTGTCACATATATATGTGCATGCAAGTTGGTCTGAGCCAACAAGCGTATCTCCTGTTGTTTTCTGCCTTATTCCGCTCAGTTTAGTTTTCTTAGTTGTTACTGTGTATATGTATTTGTGATGTGAGGCGTACACCATGACACATGTGGACATCAGATAACTATGTGGAGTTGCTTCTGTAGTTACACCATTATGTGGGCTTCCCACTGTCAAGCACAGGTTGCCAGGCTTGCTCTGCAAACACCTAAACCTGCTTAGCCATCACCAGTCCTCATTTTTGACACAGGGTCTCTTCCTCTAACCTGTAGCTTGCTGATTTGTCTAGACTGACCAGTGACTTTTATAGATCTGCTTGCCTGTCCCAATCTCACGGAGACCTGACTTCCTCATGTCTGTGCAGCCTGTAGTTTACCTTCCCCAGCCCCCAGCAATCGTATTCTAACCATCCCTCCAGGTGGTTGATGGGCCCTAATGTTTAAACTCCCTTGGTTTAGGTTCAGTAAACTTTTTCTACAAAAGGCCAGATACTAAATATTTTAGGTTTTACAAACCATGGGTATTCGTGACAGTTACTTAGCTGTGCTCTGTGTCAAGAAAGGAGCCATAGGCATGTACACAAAATAGTATAGCCATGTTCTAATAAAAGTTAACTTTTTTCCCCATCCCTCCCTCCCTCCCTCTTTTCCTTTCTGCCGCTCTCCTTTCTTTTGGATGCTTTTCTGAAGATTGAATCCAAAACCTCATATATGCTAGATAAGTACTCTGCCATTGAGCTATATCCCCAACCACAGGAAAATTTTATATATGGAAACTGACAGAATTAGGATATTTGGCTCAGTTCTTTAGTTTGCAGACTGGTCCGGGCTCTAGACCAGTGGTTCTCAGCCTGTGGCCTATAACCCTTTGGGTGGGGAGTGTCAAATGACTCTTTCACAGGGATTGCCTAAAACCATCTGCTTATTCTATGTTTATAGTTCATAACAACAAAATTACAATTATAAAGTAACAACGGGAATGATTTTATGGTTGGAGGTGACCATACCATGAAGAACTGTACTAGGGGGTCCCAGCATTGGGAAGGTTGAGAAACTATTGCCCTAGCCAATGTTACCAGAGTAAACAGTGACAGTAATATAAACAGGAGTTAAGAGATCAGACTAAATAATTTCAAGTACTGACTTAATTTCAGAACTTTTGATTGTTCATTTTTCTTCTCTCTCTTTTTATAACATATCACCTTATATGTCACCTTAGTTTTCTCCACAGGAAAATAGTTCATCTTTGTTTTAATTATAAACATGTAGTCAAGTCCTAAAAGTTGAAGCATCACAAAAAAAAAAGAAGAATTATCAATGATTCTACCTGTCTTGACTCAAAAATAATTAGCACTCTGGTGATTTTTTTTCTGTACACCAGTATTGTCATTTTTAACAAATCCGTGTAATTTTAAGAATATTTCATTATATACTTTGTCAATTTTCAGTTATGAAATTATAACAAGTTTTTTTCTCTTTTGAAGGTTGTTTTGGAAACAGAAATAACAAATAAGTCTGCTCTGAAACTGTATGAAAACCTTGGTTTTGTCCGAGATAAGAGGCTGTTCAGATACTATTTAAATGGAGTAGACGCACTGCGACTTAAGCTGTGGCTTCGCTGAGACTGACAGCAAGGAATGGCTCCACCCACGTGGACTCGACTTTGGCACGCAATGCAATTTGTACAGAATTGCCTGCAGGTGGACTTAGTAACTCCCATGCAGCTGTCATCTGTTAGGGTCCATTGAGTGTCGCACAATATTTGTTGCACTTTGGCATGGCGCATTTATTCTGAATTAAATGAGATTGCTTTTAAACTTCAAGGGTTCTTTTGGTACCAACAGGATGTGCCAGTTAATAGCCAAGACTTGTTTATTTGCAAAGTCTGCTGACAGTGCTATTTACATAGTGATCATTTTATCACAGAACCAGTAAGTGGGACATGATTTTTGTTCCTTAAAGAAGCCAATGTAGTTAAAGTCTCTTAATTATACTAACATTTCACACACAACCTGCCATAGTTTTCTGAATGGGTGAGGGAAAAGCTTCAATTTAGGTTTTATTTTTTTCAATATTAAATTTCCATTCTTGAATATTGGTACCTCAGTGATTAGTGGATGACAAGTGTAGGGTGGGATTTGTCTTACAATGAGTAAAGATGACAATTAAATTGCGTCTGCCAGTGCCTGTGTAGATAAGTATTCTTGTCTTCATCTCTAGTTTTCGAATGCATGCTGTCTTTTCTTTTTCTTTAATGCCTTTGCAAGCAAACTTGTTTTTATTTAAATTCTGAATTTGATAATAAATTATTTGAGATTTTTGTAATTTGGACAGTTTTTCCAGGTGAGTGACAGGGGTTTGATTTAGAAGTCCCTTTTTCCTTACAGTAAGAAGTTGAATCTACTTGGGAAACAGAAATGGCTTAAAGGGATGGAGCTGGGAATTGCTGGGTTTTGGATGCACTTTTTTTGTTTTGTTTTGTTTTGTTTTTGAGGATGGGGAGTTTTTGGAAAGGAATAGAAAATTAATGTAAATTGGTATGATTTTATTTAATCAAAATGATTGCTAAGCTGTGAAGAACAGCTTCTATAAAGTAGCTGGGTTTTTTGTTTTTTGTTTTTTTTTTTTAACTTGATTTGAATTCACATTGCTTCCATTTTTGAAAATACTTCACTTTTGGTTCTTCGTCTTAGAAATAAATTTCAAAGAGCATTGTATCTGTTTTAAGCTGCATTGATTTTCTTTTCACTCATGAGCAGATTCTTGGGGGACCTTTGCTTTTTTCCTCCAGAAAAGGGGGGAGGGATGAAATTTTTTTTAATGAGTTCTTTGAGTTTTCTGAGCAGCCAAGGTGTTTATTAGTTACAATGTATTTTGGCGAATCAGTGTAATGTTAACAAATTGTTTTGAGTCAATAAACCTGTGATGGATAATTTATTTAACTAGGAAACCTAAGCACTCATAAGGAAAAAGATTCATTCTCTGAAAAATGTTTTATGGGAATCTGGCATTCATGTTGTTATTTTCATTTGACTATACTTTTCTTCTGCTTTAGTACTTGGCTTGGATTTTATTTTATGGCTGTAATTACTGTATTTTTAAAAACCCTACCTCCATTAACAGTTGGTAAAGGCCCCTTTTCAGGAACGTTTGTTGCTTTTTTTTTTTTTTAAAGGAAAGCTGCTCTTTGCTCAGTATAATATTTTGAAAGTGAACATGGTAACAAGTACTTTTAAAATAAAGATGCACACTTTATATTTGAAAATAAAAACTCCTGCTGGTGGGATCATTTATAGTTCCTTATTTTTAAGAAAATGTGTCTTTCCATTTTATATTGCTCTTTAAAGATTAATGCAGAATACTGGTAATATTAAAAATGTGATGACCACATAGTACTCAGCTTTTCTGCTGACCATTTTGAGTCTGTTTTGGTCAACCTTCATTTGGGCTCCAGCATTTAGAAGAATGCCAGTCATCATGATGCTTCTGTTTTCATTTTCAATGTAAGGAAAGTAGCTAAAAAATATACTTGACATCATCCAATTTTGTTTTGCCTTGCTGGTACATAAGTAGTGAATTGTTGATGAACAGACATTTTCTTGACTCACTCTGATGGGTATAGTTGTAAAGTAGATACATACTAGAGTTTCCAATTCAAAAGTTTTGTTCTTGCTGGGTTGTCAGTGAAACTGTCACGACTCCCCTTAAGAATTGCTGAATCAACTGAACTGATTGTCTGATGATGTGTAAACTTGAACTGTGTGACTAAAATATCAGATCATTACAATACTGCTCAATGGATGGATACATGATATTATCAGTGTATACTTTGATGTTTTAGTTATTTGACCCATTTTTTTACCTAAAATTTTAACCTCTATCTTGATAACCTAGTTACAAAATTTAAACTTTCCAAGGTGAAATAACTTCAAACATTAACTTGATATTAGGCTTTCATTTTTCTTCTATCAGCTTAAAGTAGTTCCATTTATAATTGACTGTGGGTTCACTTGGCTAAAACTGAGCAAAATTGGTGCAACTTTCTTTTAGTGGGGTGCTGCCTCTTTAAGACTGACTGTACTATCCACTGACACTGGTTTGGCAGTTGATACTGCTGAACATTTAATACATGCTACCATGAAGCTATATATGTTAGTATTGAATGAAGCTAATGGATATGCTACCAGTTTAGATGTATGGGCTGATTATAATTTCCCTTACATTGGGATGAAAATACTTAACTCTGGAATCAAAGTCCACAAATCATAACATTAGCACTTGATGTTGAAGCCAGCAAAATAATATGAAAAAATAGTATTAAAAGTTGATTTTTAACATTTTCTGCCTCTCCTCCAAATTACCCACTACAAACATGAGATAAATCTGTGTAAAGGAGTTTGTCATGTTTTAACTCTTTCCGTGTTATGGTATTGGCTGGCATGTATAAGACTGGATGTGTATGTTTATTATGGTGTCTAAAAATTATGACGTTCATCACTTTCCAGGAGCATAGAGGAAATCAGATTGGTAGTACACCAGTTACTTTCAGTACACCTCGACATCACTAGGATGAGTGCTGTAATGTCCTAGGGTTTTCAGGTTTGTAAAAACATAACCATAAGTTATATTGACGTCACATATGAGTTGAGTATCTATGAAATATCACGTGTATCTCAAAAATACTGGGCTGCTGTTTAATGACTGGGGTATTGCTGCATACTTTTCTCCTATTGACCCCTATCCTTTTGGAGAGAGATTTAATGGGGTTTGAAATGTGCAAGCTGTGTGAATAACATGCAGTCAAATAAAGTATGGTTAAGTTGTGTTTGCATTTTTCTTTAAGATACAGCTGTGTGCAGTCTGTAATTTGGTTTCAGATAATCAAAAAGCAACCTGTTCTGTTTTCTCGCTGCCTTCCATCAAGAGTCATTTGGAAGGAATGATACAGTTGTTATCTCTCTACATTGTGTTCTGACAAAGTAAATTTGAAAATAAAATTACAAACTTGATTGCTAAATGTACTCAGAGTTAATCAACTGAGAGCAGTACAAGGGATGACATTAAAAAAAAAAACTAACTGAAAGTAGTTTACTGTCCTTGCTCCTAGCAACTTACTCCTAAGTCAGTTTTTATTTTTACTATTTGTATAGTGCCTCCTTGTATAAATAATTTTTTCCTTTTGCTAAACACTAAAAGTAGAGCAAGATCTCATGGGCTTTTTGACACATCCTTGTGAGAAAATTAAACTGGTAGTTATATATGTTTTCATATTTGAAGTGCTGAATATCAGTTGGAGGATGAGATGATATATTCTAATTGTGACTGCTAAGTTTTATCACCGTTGCTGAATATTTTGTTCTTTATAGTTGTGTGAAACATCTGATCTTGTTTTGTTCTTACAGCAATGTGAAGTGTCGGAGTTCATGTTGTATTTGAATCTGAATGCTTCATAAACTTAGTGTAAATGAGGACCAGAAATGTGAGACTATTAGTATCCAGACTTTTTTTTATAAGCATCTTCAAAAAAAGAGGGTTAATAAATACATCTCAGCATATAGCACAGTTGCACTTTCTTCAGCTGAGCTGTCCAGGACGGAAGCTACTAGTCACTCTTCGGTGCTTAGCCGAAATGAAGTGTGGCAAGGGTGGGAATCTTAGTTCTTAATCTTACTCATTTGAAATTAATATGTGCCTGGGGAAAGCGCCTCTGAGTAGAAGCACTAACTAAACCGTTTGTATGTTGGCATTTTTAGTCATGTCCCTGCCTCATGCCTTTGTGTGAATGACCAGGTGCAAAGCAACTCTTGCCTCTCACAGTCGCAAATGCCTGGAATTGCAGAGACGATAAACTGGTGTCCGAGACTGTTAATGCCTTTTACAGTTGCAAGTGCCTGGAATTGCAGAGACGATAAACTGGTGTCCGAGACTGTTAACGCCTTTTCGCTTTAAAAACCTGTAACATTAGGCCCAACAGTTTATTTTAGATTAATTCAAAATAATTACCCTTCAAAATAAAATAGACCCCATTTTACCAATGGTCAATCAGGAGCATGGAGGTACCTCATATTTATACGTTTTTCTAAAGCAGATGAGACTAAAGGCACATGTTTCTAATTCTAACGAGTTAACTGTCTGTTTTCATGGTATATCCCTTCATCTTTGCTGGTCATTTGGTCAGCTGTGTTTCAGAAGGCAGCAGTGGAGAGGACATTACAGAAGAGTGCTGGGTTGGGACAGCCTTTGATGAGCTTCAGCCTCTTGGGTTGATAGCAACTTGGTGTTTAATTTCTGTGTGACAAAAATAGAAGCACTAAGGTATATTTTCTGCTACCTTAAAATTTATACAGTATAGGGATTATGATGAAATAATTATCAGTGTGTTTAAAGTTTTTGCTGTTTGTTCTTTTGAGACAGGGTTTCTCTGTACAGCTCTGGCTGTCCTGGAACTCACTCTGTAGACTATGCTGTCTTCAAACTCAAGATCACTTGCCTATGCCTCCCATATGCTGGGATTAAAGTTGTGTGCCACCACCCCCCAGCTTATAAAAAATAAACCTACTTTTAGTTATGGTGGGTTTTCCCCATAACTAAATGTATGGATAAATGTATCTTAGTTAATACCTCAGCCTCCTGAGAATAGACATTTTTCTAAATAGCTTGCCATATCCCTGGGGAAGGACCCTCTCTTGAAATCCAGAGATTGCTGCATATGTTACATGGTGAGTCAATTTCATGTTTCTTAAGACTTGACTGAGGGTATTTAGTAAATGCACTCTTCAGTAAAATCTGCATTCTGTGAAATGTATATCCTTATTTGTTCCCTTATAACTACTAAGTTTGTATGTATTTGATACTTTTCTGACATAGAAACTTACCATGTTATAAAGTTAGCGTACTATCTGAACTAATACCTCCAAAAGTCCCCACAAATGCCCAAATTTTCCCTTTAAACAGGCAGTCTTAAGTCTCCGAGATTTAAATAATCTCACAGTTAAAATGAGAGGTGGCACATTTTTCCAGCAGTTCATTAACTGCATTAAAGAAAATACTGACATCTTAAGGGAACTGTTGCTTTATTAAGTTCCACAGATGCATGAAACTTCCAAAGTTAATGTAAATTATAATGTAATTGCTAAAGTTTGTGTTTGCGATTCAATGCCTTAATATGCAAGGAATTGATCACTGTCATCTTTAGGGTGAGGTTTCCTGTGAATCTTAATTGTTTATTGATCATTTTTAAGGGAACTGACCCTACTGCCTTAAATCTAAACCTGCTGCCCTTAGATGGTGCTCTCCTCCTGACTGGCTGGGTGTAACCTGTGATACAGTCATGATTACCTGCTTTTACTGTGAATACAGTTAAACAGGTCCTTCAAGTACTGACTTAAACCAGGTAAATGTAAAAAACTGATTTCAAATTTGTCTTTAGCCAAGTCAGCTCCATACCTTATAATTTAGAAATTAAGTACATCAGCCTGGTGTTGGTGGCGCATGCCTTTAATCCCAACACTCGGGAGGCAGAGGCAGATGGGTCTCTGAGTTTGAGGCCAGCCTGCTCTACAGAGCGAGTTCCAGGACAGCCTCCAAAACAATACAGAGAAACCCTGTATTGAAACCCCTGCCCCCAAAATTAAGTACATTAATATAATGTGAGTATTGTATTTTGAGTTATGTAATAACTAGTTTGCTTCATATTAGGAACTAAAAGTGAACATTGAAAGTGTTTTATCTTCATGATTCTGGGTAAATTTCTTAATGTGTTTGACCTTTTGGTGAAAACAGATAAAGTTATGGAGAATAAATGGCATGATGTTTATTGGTAACCTTGATGGTACCTAGTCAGTCACCTAGTCATAGTAACTAAGTGGTAGCTATTAGTAATAGAACAATGCTTATAGTGAGTGTTAAAGCACCATTTGAACAGAGGTGGATACTAGATAGATACTTAAGATTTACTCTGTGTGTGTGTGTGTGTGTGTGTGTGTGTGTGTGTTAATGATAGTAGTAGCTCACACAAACAGCAAAACTAGGATGCCGAGTAAGAATTGAGTTCCTCTTGAGGAATGTGGCCTTAAATGCTGCCCAGAGCTGGGTGTACTGTTTGCATCAGCTTCTTTAGGATGTACATGTGCCAAGAAGAACTGGTTTGTACAGTGTCATGTCCTTTCCCAGAGCAGCCCAGACCAGAAATCCTCATGGGTTGACTGAACCTTCATTGGCACTACATCTTACCTCAGCTGCCCTCTCCTTAGCACAGCTACCTAAGAATATTTCCTAATCAACTTCCAGATTGCTGATCTCCATCTCAGGTCTTGTTTCCAAGGAACCCCTGTGGGAACAGTATGCCTAGCAGGGTCAGAGGTGATCGGAGGCAAAGGTCTTAGTATTTAGCTTTAATAATGGACAGTTTGGTGTTTCTTCAATCAGGAATGATGGGATATAGGAGGACAAATTCAGAGCCACTGATGTCTAGGCCTAGGGGGGGTGGGCAGTGAAAGGGCCCAACTCTGAAAACTGTATCTTTGGGTTAAAAGCATAGCATGATTTGACTTCTGGTTAAATCATGTCTGACTAAGTTATTTAAATATTTTAAACTTGAGTTTTTTTTTTTTTAATGTTGAAAACAGTGGTAATGGCAGTTGCTGTTATATGGTTAAGTATTCAAGTTTATCATTACAGTCATCATTCTTGCTGCTTAATTCTGGTTCCTTCAGTGCCCAGCCACACAGGAACCAGACACAGATTGGAACCTGTCCATTTCATTAGTTGTGGATAACACAAGGGCAGACTAAGTAAAAAGAATACATTGTAGCTGTCATATTAGTGGATGAGTGCCTTTCAGGTGGTCTGGATGATATTCCATATCTCCTGTATATGGATATGAGACTCTGGTAGGGAGGCCTGCTTCTAAGTTGAAGAGTTAGTTTTCTGTTGCTATCTTGAGTAAGAGTAGGGCTTGGTATAGTCTGGTGTCTTGAAATTGTAATGAGTAATCATAGGGATACAGCATGAATTCTGTGTTCAGCAAATCTAGGGGGTGGTCAGAGGGGATTACAGTCTGTTCATATTAGAGACAGAGGGAACTCCATGAAAGCCTGTGTCAGGAGAGCAGAGGCTAGCTGATTTCCACAAAGCATTATCCTGTGCTTCTCAGACTTGTTAGGATGGGCTCATGATCCACAGAGGACAGGAAATGAAACTACATTAGGCATCCTTATCTGTCTAGTGTACTAAATAGCAACCACTTGAGAGTTTCGGATTCTCTGTATGTCATAGTTGCCATTTAAATAGTTTTAACTTTTCATCTTGCTGTTAACTACGTAAAAGGTTCTAGGACATTTCCATGAGTAACTCATGATTCCTCCTCAGTACATCACCCTGAGTCACTGGAGGAATGAGTAGTCCTGCTTGAAGTGCTCATAGATTTGGGATATACTTATCACCCCAGGGTGAGTTCTGCTGGGCCTGTGTCTGGGGCAGTAAACAGGACCGAGGAGTCACAAACGCTTTTGACATACTACCCATTTCTTGCACAGGGCATAATGGCCTGGCAGCCATTAGCCTTCATGTGATGTGTGTGAAAGGTACTGTTCTACATCAGCTTGAGGTAGCCGAAATTTGAGATGGGACATTTGGTGGCATAGGACACTGGGATTCTGTCCTTGTTCCCAAGGAATAATTCAGAAGAATTTCGGAACTAGAGTCCCTGTCATTCTGCAGAGGAGATGAACCAGAGACAACTATCCCAGTAACCTTGTACCTGTTCTCTTCCCCCATGGTCTGAAAACATGGTACCTCCAGATACTCCATGCTTGCTGTTTGCTTCAGCGGGAACTTCGTATCTTTTTTACAGCTACAAATTAATTTAGGATGAAAGCTCACTGATAAGTCCAACTCTGTCCACACAGCAACTAACCCTGAGGAAAGGTCAGTGAACAGTTTAGCCCTGGCTGTCCTGGGTCTTCAGAACTGACAACCCAGCTCTTGCTCAGACTAGTCATGTCTTACAACGGAGGA